AGGAATGCTGTGCTGTTAGTGTTTGTACCAGAAAGCATAAAGGGCAGTAGCAGCCTTTTGCACTAAACTTGAACCCAATCATTTGAGGAAAAATAGTCAGTTTAGGTGGTTCTGCCAAGGCAATGGAAATTGATCTTATAGCTTCCTACCCTGAGTCAATCAAGAAAGCCATTAAGCCAAATCCTGCGGCAGGCCACAACAGCACTTTGTATGGGTCACATATTGCATCAGATTAATTCTAAATGAGAAGGACAGAATAAAAAGCTGGTGTAAAACTAGCATACTATTCAACAAGAACTGGGCCATACTTCAACAACATGCTTTCCAGAACGTTGGAGGAAAGGCTGTGGCCCTTCCATAAACACCAAGTATTATCATTGTAATGCTCCTCACATAAAAATCATCACTGTGACAATTATAAGATAGTTGTAGCCCCTGCCTTCTTTCAGCTCAAAACAGAGCATGTATCTTCAAAATAAGTAGGTGGTACCTGATGACTGGGAGAAGTCGAGTGGTGATTGCTAATTGTAATGATCGGTTATGGGAATTGGCTGAAGAGACTAGTTTATCCAAAATAATTAATTGTCAGTGACTGTTCCAAGACTTAAAAACCTTAGTAATGGTCAGCTGCATAGTAGAGATCAGATTTTGGTGAGCAAGTGGCCTGCATACAGTAATGCCAAAGGGAACTGCTAATATACAGGGATTGCAATATTATCGAGTAATAAATCACACTTCCAATTAAAACAGCTCCACTCTTTTTTTAAATAAATTATAAGTTTATTAAACTGTGTGATAGAATTCCATGGTTTGGCTTTAAGTATAACCAAAGGGGATACAAAAAGGATCTCTCTCTCACCTTTCTAAAAAGGTGAAGCAAATTCATCTTTGTACATTAACAAGTGGACTCTTACCTACTGGAATCACTGTACCAATAAATACTAGCAAGACTGCAAAAATCTTACTACTTAGTAATCAGTTATATGCCTTAAAATAAATTGTATCCATTGATAAAGATTACACAGGCCAGGAAAAGCCTTGTAGGGCATTCCAGGCTCATGTTACTAGGTAGGCAAAGTACAGCCCTGGTTCAGTTTCTAATACGTTGTTCAAAATAAGATTTGGTGTTAATATGTGCATTGGTAAGTCCTACCAACACTCCCTATTTGGTTCACATGGATCCTAGGCCAAACCTTGATGTTGTTTCACATGATCTGAAGTAGACTCTCCATGCAAAGAGAAGTTTCTCCACATACAAATCCAACTAACTCCTCCTTACTCCTAAGCAAAGCTAAAGCTTCCCAGTTTCAAGCAACTAAGCTTTTCCCATTGCTCCCAGACTTTATAGTACCTTTGAAAAGGAAGAGTAGACAGAATTACTTCAGGACATCTGAAGCATTACAAAAGTGGCATGAATGGAAGACCTGGTTGGCCAAATGGCAGTTTCAAACAACTAAGAGTTATATAGAGACCATCTGAAAATGTCTTTGCTGTGCAAGAGCTTCTGAACACCAGTCCTCAGCTCTTTCAAATACAGTATGCCATAGCTTAATATAACAGGAAAACCTTGGTCTCTCCTATGACGGAGCCTGATTGCACTGAAGTTTGGGTTTTGTCCCAGTTGCACCTGCTACATGTATTGCCTTGCCATTCCCAACCCTAGTTATGAGCTCAAACCTAATATTCATGCTTTGAAGCCTAGAATCCCACTACACTCAGAGTTTGGACGTGACGACTGGTAGGGTTTGGTGCCTCATAAATCTAGGGAAGAGATGCCAGATGCCTCAGCCTAGAAAGAAAAGGAAAGGGATAAAAAAAAAAAAGCCACCCCCTGATTTGGGGAACTCCTTCTAATTTCCAGGCTAAATAAAAAGTACATGCCTCATGGCAATTTATCCTCCTTTTTCTTACTTACTTTCTAGTATTTTGAGCCCCTGAAATGCCACAAAACGAGGCCAGCTATTTGACCATGGCACTTAGCTGCTTTGTTGCACTTGCCCCCAAAATAATAAGTGCCTCTTAACTTTTTAAGATCAAACCCTTAGGCAGATGATGGCCTTAGGCTTGCTCTCTGCCCTAAAAAATGAACACAGACATTGGTAACATTTTCTAGCTTCTGCTTCAGGCAGTGGGGAGGGGAGAAGGAGAAGGGTTTTCTTACTCTCTTGCAGCAGTGTGAAAGATAGTAAAAGTGTGCAAGAGAGCAAAGTAGAAGATCCCAGTCAGCAGATGCATCCTGGGAGGAAAAAGGAGCTGGGTAATCACAGTAACTGCATCCCTTGGACACAGCTCCACGGCGATGTGGTTTGGAGAAATATGGAAAGAGCCAAGAACACTGGCATGGATGAAGACATGAATTGAGCAGCTGGAGAGGGATGGCCAGAGCACTCCTCCCTTTAATTCAGCCCCAGTGCACTGGATTAAGACCTAGAGCAGTGGCTTTAAGAGCAGACATTTCAGTTTATCACCATACAGCAAGAAAAGGTGTGTCTGTTTACAGAATAGGATTTAAAAATCTACGTGCAACACAATTTTGACTTCTGTAAATGAAAAATTCAAGTTTTTTCAGGGCAAGAGGGGCAAAAAGAAAGCTGAGGGAAGCCTCGGGAGAGCAGAAAGTTGCCCTGTCCTCACAGCCTTTTAGGAGGCAGTGTTCAGTCCCTCAGTTGCTGGAGAGGGCAAGGGGAATTTGACATCAAACTTGGCTCCAGCTATCAGAGGTCCACATAAAATATGGGGGAGCCCCATTAAGAAGACTCCACAGGCAGCACCCTGGTAGAAAGCCCTGTGCCAAGGGTGACAATGGGGCTGGTCTTCTCAAAAGATAACTGAATTTTCACTCTTGCCCCCTCCCTAATCATCTTCCACATCTCCCTCGCACTAATAGATGTATTTTTTCCATTAACCTGGTTTAAACTCAGAGGTAAATAAGTGTGGCTCACTACTAACCTTCCCCTGAGATGAGCAGTACTTATGGCAGTAAACAGACCAAAAAGCAATTTCCATTGCTCAGGGAACGCAGACACTGACTGGACAGCAGTGCTGTTTGCATTTACGTTTTTCCAATATGCAAAACACATAAGCTCTTTGAAAATAAGAAAGTCAGCTCTCTGTGTAAGGAGGCTGAACAGCACTGGATTAAGCAATAGCCTTTCTACACCATCCCCTTACCTAGTTATCCAAAGGCATCTCAATAAATGGAGATGCCAAGGAGCTGAATTGTGTCCAATACACTTAAGGCTTTGGGTTGGGAGGATCATGGTTTAAGAAACTTCTCAATGGCAAGTCATCACTGGTCCTCTCATGTCTGGAGAAACACCAAGAAATATGGTATAATGAAAGGGAACACAGTGGTCAAGACAGAGAACCTTTGAAGAAGTAGAGGAGCACTTCATGGCACCAGCAGTTAAAGCTTCACCCTCAGCAGTCGGAAAGAGAAGAACCAGACGGCCCCAAGGGTTTCCAGGTGCAACGCACGTTAGTTTGAAACAAGCAATTTATTTCTCTCCTCTCCAATACTGCACACAAAGGTGATCAATGCGAAACGCTGTGTTAACGAAAGGTGAGAGCTGACAATGAAGAGACCCTCAGCAACAATAAATTAGTTTCCAAGACAGCAGAAAGCCAGAGGGAATAGATCAGGATTCTAGGGCGATACGTGAAGTTAAGATGCACTCTTCCCTCCTCTTTGTTTATACACAGAGAAACTCCTCCCAGACCTGTGTGTGTGGAAGCTGAGCACAAGATGTGGCAGAAATAACAGCAGAACAGACATGGAAACCCACAGTGCTATTTTCACAGTCTGCTGCCTTTAAGACCTTAACACACAGCTTAAGCGAAACAGGACATTGCAGAAGCTTTCACCTGTATGGAGTATTTTACCCTTTAACTTTTGAGCCTCGCCACCTTCACCTTAACCTAAGAAGTTAGGGCCTCAATATCAGCTCCAGGACAAGGTAACAAATCAAGAAAGAAAAACAAAGGACCAGTATTCTTCATCTTTCACCCTTCAACTTTCAGTCAAAACGCGAGTCTGAGGTAACAAACATTAGTTCACAACTGAGTTAATATTCAGGACACTGGAGTTGCCACTGAACATGTTTCATTAAAAAAAAAAAGCCTAATTTTAAAAGTCCCTTTGGATAAGGATGCACAAGTTCACATAAATATCAGTGTCACTTCCCACGTTCCAGTAGCATTTGCTTTCTTTCTCCATTGTGTCAAACAACAAAAGACCAGCAACAAAACAACTGTTCAGCCTTTGTCTATGGCTTCTAAATTCCAATGTGCACTTAAGTGGAAAAAAAAACCCTCAGCAAACCCAATATTACTAAAACCCTCTGAATTGGTGGATCACATAATTCTGCATTAGCCTGTCTAATCAGCAAATCCCCCCATTCCCGAGATCAAAGGACATTTTAGGAAGTGGTACATATACATACATTTGAGAATTGTTTCCATGAGCCATCAGTGGGACAAGGAATGATAAATACTGCCTAAAGGAGTAAAAACAATGGTCCGAAGGGTAACAGTCACACTCCAGCAAACAGAGACCAGATAAGTGTAATACAACTTGGAAAGACATAACTTACTCTACCAAAAAGAAGGTTACAGTTAATGTTAAGCCTGTAAGTATAACTGAAAGTGAACTGTTGAGTCACGTTCACGCTGCCACTATTTCTCAGCCCCCAAAGAACATAGGCTGTTGTGCTTAACCTCCAAAACAAACGTGGAACTTTCTATAGTTCCCTCTTGGCGAGAAAGGAATGGATATTACAATAAGACAATATACCCTAAAAGAAGTGAATATATGCTTGCTCTGATAATGTATTTGTGTATGTGGACTGCCCAAAGTTACCCACAGAATGAAAAGGAAAAAGCATTTTAGAATGTCACTTTCAAAATTCATGTTTTAAAATCCAATTTCCACAAAAAATAAATGCAAGACTCCTGGGACCCCATGAGATCTTTTTATACACAAACACGGGGTCTATTTTCCCCCCTCAGAGCGCCCAGACAGGTCTCGGTAAGTGTATAGAGAGCATTAAGTGTCACTTAGACCATCCACGTTTAATTCTACTAGTGAAAATATTTTCACCAGGATATTTCTAAGGAAAAAATTACTGCAAATTTATCCCTATTAATCCATTGTAAGACAAATAGTAAGAATTATTCTGTACAACATAAGCCTGATTGATCTAACATTTTACAATATGAGATATGAGAAAGGAGGTTGAGTTTGAATACAAATGTGCTCACAAGCTTTTCCCATAGCTCAACCTCTCAAAGCAGCTTTCAGTCAGAATACCTGAGTCTAACTGATGCAAATATATATATAATGCATGTGTGTATAGTATCATTTGTTTTTCACATTGCCTCCTGCATTTCTGCAGATCCAGTTAAAAAACCAAACAAACAAAAACAACTGTTATACCGTACATCTACCAAATTATATATCACTGAGCCAAACCAGCAGCAAGTTCTGTACGTAACTCTCCACCACTCATTTTAACCACAGCTCTAGCATATTGTTCAAAGTGCTCTATAAGATTAAGATATTGTACTGTAGATGCATTTGTAACAAACTTGCTTTTGTCACATAACTTCCTTCTTTTGACATAATGCAGCATAGCATAATGGTCTGGAATGAAATCAGAGCATCAGCAACACTACTGATTTCCACATCTTGAGCTGGTACAGTGATAGTTCTGTTTCATGTACCATCTGGAGATATTATAAGCTCGTACAATGGAATGAAGCCGTAGCCAAGGTTTTCAATACGTCCAAAATAAACCAGTTCTCTCTACCTTTATTCCTTCCCTCCAGAGATAATTCCATGTTGTAAGACAATTTGCTGCTTTCCTGAAATCTAACCATCTCCCAAGAATGGCACCAGTAAGTCCCTAGATCCCTAGCGACCAACATACATCAGGGTCCATATTGCAATTGGTTTCCCAACCATGATATGTGCAATCAAACCCAGGTAAAGCAGCAGAGTGCACACAGGTTGTCCATCCCAGAGCCAAAGCACGGGGTTAGATTTAAGACTGACAAGACTTCTCTAAATCAGAGATGCTCTTAATTTTTTTTTTAAACCAAGAAGTGTAAATATAGCCTTCTTGGCTATTTTAGTTCAAACCCTGAAAAGTAAAGTGACTCAAAGGTAATGTGCCACTGTGGAAGGTATACACAGCACTTCTATGCTGGTGCCCAGATAGGAAGGGGATGAGCTTCTGTGTTAAACACATATTTGTCGAGGTTGATTAGGTCTACATCATCTGAAAACAGCAGGAACATATACTTGAGCGTTTCCCCAAGAAAGAAGCTTTCCATCTTATCTCTCGGCTCTGGGTTGCTAGGATTCTGGACGTTGTTAATGGATGTATAACCACCTGTAGGCACCTGTGCAAGACAGAAATTGTAGACAAGTTCTTCTTGATTCACAGAAATACAAACAAACTCTCTTTCTGTTATTAAAAAAGTGAAAGCACTAGACAGCCAGCACAGCTCTGAGAATCATATTTTACATGCAGAAAGCTTTTTTAAGTCTGATGGATATCAGAGCACTTGACTAAGTGATACAGAAACCACGTATAATAAAGTGAGGCCCACTGTAAAAAGTAGCACACTGACCGGCAAAATAAGGGGGGAAAATGTTTGGCTGAAATTTCAGCAGAACTTTAAGGAACAAATTACCATAATTACTAGGTGGGAGCTGGTCAGGAGTGCAATGGCACCATCCTATCCTGCTTGAGCCACAAGCTCTCTAGCAACTGAGTAGTCTGGACCACAGAGTTTGTTAGCTCAGTCAAGAGATACATTTTTAGAAGCACAACACTTCTCTAAGGCTATGTTGAGACACTGGTTCAGTTCAAGAGTGCCTCCTCCTAAGTCATTAACATTACTTCTAGTAGCAGCTTTCTTACTCTCGCTCAAACACCATACCTGTCCAGCTAGATCTTATTTACTTTGAGGGATCATGGAAGACATTTGTGTAGCTTCAGAGAGAGCTTAAGGACACCTAGCTGCACTAAAGTTTCATTTATCAAATTATTTTTCTTAAAAAGAAAAGTTTTACAGGAGTGATATTACCCTCCATTATAAAAACTCTGAATTACATAATATACAATGGAGAAATGTGTGTTCATGTGCACACACAGCACTAAAAACACTGATCCTTCACAATCAGTAAAATTACCTTCAATGTATTTTGTACTGCTGTACAAATAAAACAAAAATAAACAACCCCCTTAGAAGTTGTGCCTATTATTAGAGGGGATTCAGAGCCACTTGAAAAATGGTTAAAACAAGCAAACAAGTTTACTTGGATCTGATCCTAGCTCAACATTTTTTCCTAAAGAAAAAAAACCCATCACAAGCAATAAGAATGCCTCCCCAAATTGTTAATAGTCTTCATAAACAGACAGCATTTCCATGATGCTTCCTTTCCTTTTTTAACCAGTGGGATGATATGCAATGAATACAATTGTATCACTAGTCTGAAGGCATATAGATTGGAATTCTCTGTTGGGTCCTTAAAAGCTTTGTTTTATCTATTAGCTATGTTTATGATCTTTGGAAAATAGGCAATTGCAGAACTGGGAAAAGTCTCTCTTAAAGGACTTTGCCTTGATATGCTTGAAACCATTACAGTGTGGTAGGCTGGCCTTACCCGTGTGTATTTATTGAAGTTTTGCAAGATTTCCCAGCCCCAGTCTTGGTATTTCTTATCCCCTGTGAATCTGTATAGGTAAAAAAGACTTTCCACAGTTTCAGGTCTCAGCAGGTTGTGTCTATCTGCAGGCTGGAAGAAAGTAAAGATTGGAATTCAAACAAGACACAGGAAATGAATGGAGAGGAAAAACCACTGACTGCTTAACCTCCTTCATCCTAACCCCAACAGCCCTCAAGAATTCACTATATGCAAATCAACTTCTAAATATGTTGCAGGAACCATGTAAAGAACTAAAGATTAGGGGTATGCATGTGAAGTGAAAGAGAGGAAGATGCGCTCAACAAAACAAAGAGCATCCTCCCCCAGCTACTAACCTGCTGTTGGGACTTTCACAGGACAACATGTTACATATACAGAGTTTTTAAGCTGTTGCCCTGCTCCACTGGTTGCTTACCTTTATCTCCACATCTTTGTGACCCTTTTGTGCATGTAGATTGAAGTGTACAATCTCTGGGCTCAGGCCTGTCTCTACTTGAGCATACATCTGGTAACAGGTTTCTATGAGGGCTTTGGCCAGCTCCATATGATCAGCAGTCAATCCATTATGAGCTCCAAGAGCCAGGGTACCAGGCAAAAAGCAAACCAGGTGATCCTGCAAGACAGAAAACACCTCTCACTGCGGGGAACGTGGAACAAACAAATCAAGACAAGACTTAACGACATTATGGCATTGAGGACTATGTGTTCTTACACTCTGAACCTATGTAAACACGTAGAGGCATACGTGGACATCTATTTGTTAAAAATTTAGAACAGGGCAGGCAACAATAAAGGAATAAGACTGATCTGAAATAAGGTGTACTTAGTACTGTAACATCTTATATTGCTAAAATAAAAAGTAGCTAACTGAAGGGGGCAGAAATTTTCTTCCCGCCCCCCCCTCTAGTTTATATAAATGCACACGGCTAGCAAAGTCAATTCCTCTCTCTCTCTCTCTCTCTCTGAAAAGTCAATAAGGCAAGAGGGAAACTAGCTATATGAGTGACCCTAGAGTTAAGAGGGAAACAAAAGCACCATTTTACTGATATTATACACGCACGCTTTAAAAGCTGATTCTATCAAAATTTGAAAAGTTTCTCTAAAGAATTCCTTTTAAACATTGTAAATGATCCAGAAAGATTAAAATTAAACTACTGGAATAAACATAAAAAGCAGACAAAAAAAGGATTAAGTATATGGTAAAAATGATAAAAAAATTATGATAAAAGTTATATCTGAAGGTAAGTTTCATAAGCTAACTTTTTTTTTTAATGTCAAACAGGAATAAGACGGTGAACAGAAGTCAGCCACAGAGAACAAGTGCAAAAAAAAAAAGTTTCAGAAAGGATTTGGGGGAGACTTGTATTGTTCTGAGCCATCGCTGATATGAAGGAAGCAGAATCCTGCCACTAGCTGTTGTAATTAAGTTTCTTGTTAGACACTGGAATGTCAGAAACACCTTGTAGCTTAAACAAAACATCCTCAGTACTGGCTATATCTCACTCCTCCTCCTCCTCCATTAGGCTGCAATTCCACACAACAGGATTGGATTTTATCTCTGTCTAAAACAGTGGTGGGCAATTATTTTGGGCGGAGGGCTGCTTCCCCAGTTTCTGGAAGCCATCAAGGGCCACATGACAGGGAGCTGGGGGCAGATTAATATTTATTTTTTAAATTTTTTAGGGGTCCCGCAGGTGGGATGCAATGGCCTGGCAGGCTGCATGTGACCCATAGACCGCATTTTGCCGGCCTCTGCAGTACAAGAATGTATTTATTTAGAAGCAGAAAAGGAAGCTGTTCAGAAAAGAATGGATTTTGTTTGTTTGTATCTCTGGCTGTGTACATGTACAAGGAGACAAAGTAAAGCCATTTGTGTCCAGAAGCATTTGAAAGCCTGGGCTGGTAGTAGGCATATCAGTGTTTTCCATAGTGAGTGGAGTAGTCATAATTTGAGAGCTGAGCCAACCAGAGCTAGGGTAGGGACAAGATATAACATAGGAGTGAGATCACCAATCTGGGCTCATCCAGGTGATCTTGATGAGAGATATGATGGTGTCTACTAGAGTCAGAGGCTTTATCCCAAGACTCGTAATAAATTTGCCAGTCCCTTGTACCCAGAAGAACAGCCTCTAGTCACTCCAAGAATTGAGCCTTGATACAGTATATCTACTGCACCCCAGCTTGTAACCAAAGCCCTGCTGCCAGCCTGGGTCCTGCGCTGGCTCCGGGCTTGCCCATCAGGGCTGCGCGCAACAACAATAGCTGCAGCCCCCTGCATGCCGTGCTGGGCAGTGTTTGCTGCTGCTGTTGCCCACCCAGAGCTTGCATGCTAGGCAGCCCACAGGTGGCGCTGACAAGCACTGCCTGGCATGGCAAGCGGGGGCCACAGCTGCTGTCACCACACGCAGCCCCAACGAGTGAGCCCGGAGCCAGCACAGAGCCCAGGCTGGCTGCGGGGCTGGGTTAGAAGCTGGTGCTGAGCGCAGGGGGAGGAGAAGTGGCCCCTCGCCCGCCCCATGCCCAGCACCCTGCGCTGCAGCCACTCAGCCCACATGGGGCTGCCTGTGCCTGCTCCGGACAGCCCGGCGGGCTGCGAGTGGCTGCAGCAGGGATGGCCAGCCACCGGGTGGGGGAGCGGCTGCTTTCCTTCATGCCAGGAAGGAGCTGGGAAGGAGTCTGGGGAAAAGCTGAGCGCAGGTTGGGGGTGGGGGGGAAGCAGCCCCTCCCCTGCCCTGTGGCCAGCACTCCCTGCTGCAGCTGCTCGCAGCCCGTGGGGCTGTCCGGAGCAGGCACAGACAACCCCAGGCGGGCTGCGAGCGGCTGCAGTGCAGGGTGCTAGACACGGGGTGGGCAAGGGGCCACTTTCCCCCCCGCCACACTCAGCTTTTCCCCAGGCCACTTTTCCCTGCCCGAGATCCTCCCCTGCCCCCCCCCACCCCCTTTCCTGTGGTTCAGGCACAGGGCAGCCACGTGGTCTCAGGCCAGAAGTCCCAGATGGGGCTTCCGGCTGGGGGGGCAGGAACCGGGAGGGCCCTGCTGTTGAGGGAGCCGGCCGGGCTTCCCTTGGGCCTTACTGCCTTTGGTTCCTGTCATTTTTGACAGGAACCAAGGGCAGATAAACGTTAATTTTCTAATTTTTTTAGGGGTCCCACAGGCCGGATGGAATGACCTCATGGGCCGAATCTGGCCCGCGGGCCGTGTTTCGCCCACCCCTGGTCTAAAAGCTGCAGCAGTGAAAGAGTTCCAGGGATATGCCCGCCCTTCCTGGATTCGACACACTACAACCCTACTGTTATTTGCTCAAGGGAGAGGAGAATCGCTATTACCACAAATATTGCAAAACATTCTCAAACAACAGAAGGTAAATTCAGTTATCTTTCTGGGAATAACTCAATTGTCAACAAAGTCCGTTCACAACAAATTGGACAACCACTTCATATCAAACCCCTTCATGTTTCTGTCTACAGCAGGGACTGTTATCTGTAACTTGGTTACTCAGTATTGTCATTACCATGACTACAAACCCAAGACATTCTTTTAAAACAAGATAACACCTGCCCATAGGCTTGCAGCAAACCATATATATATATTCATGTGTTTCACACAGCACAAGTGTGGCCTAAATGTACAAGACACGCGCAGATTTTAAAAAGGTCCATACCCCTTTTCATCTTTTAGTTTTTGCACCTTTCAGCAGCCGGAGTCAAAAATCACTAGTTCACATGTACCGGACAGATTTCAGCTGACAGTTGTAACAACGACTGCCCTCAAGTTCTCCCCCATAGGTAAGAGAGAGAGCTCAGAAACATAACAGCACTAAAAAATATTCACTACAAAAAAAAGAGAAAAGAAAAAAAAAAAATCAGGTTGGGTACTTACCATCTTGGCACTGAAGTGGCCATGGGCAAACTCTCCTACAAAAGTAAGTTTCTTCGGTTGCGACCTCTGAAGCAGATGCTTTTTTACCCCTTCTATGGCTCTCATGTAATCTTCCAACAGCCTGTGAATAGAAGTCATTCCCAGTTGATACCAATAAACACATTTCAAAATAAGTCTAACCCTTCTTTAGGTACATTACATACATCTCAAAATACCATGCTTTTTGATCAACAGAACCTTGCAATTTGATTTAAGCAAGCATTAGTGAAGATATTTAACCCAATATAAAACACTACAAGAAATCCAAGTACCCATGATTGTAGAAAATGAATTGAGCATGTATCTGCAGCTTTCTTTTGAGAAACCCACCTATAAGTAGTCATAAAGGTTCCCATTTCATTTGCATCTAATCACCTTGGTTTCTTTCAAAGGTACTTAGGAGCGCAACATTTAAACATGCCTAGAACTCCAAGACTATCAGGAAAAAAAACTATTTTAAAAACTAAAAAGTGTTCAGTGAATGTTACAGCTTGGGAAAGGTGATGGAGTCACAATTCTGCAGTGAGAAGCTCTCTCTACAGGAGAGGTGCAGCAGAGGCATCTCTGCAAGCTTCCCCTAAAGGAAGAGGTATGCCCAGATCTGGAGGGACTCTCTGTAGAAGCAAGTCAATCTCCAAGGTGCAGTCAAGTCGCCTCCTGAGGAGGCTCAACAGCGTAACCTCCCTGCCACAAAACTTCCCCAACCCCAGACTTCCAAACCCTTCCTACTTGACCAAGGTAGGAAAGTGAACACAAGGAAAAGACTGGCTGGACTTGATTTCAGTCCTGTAACGGATCTGAGAAAAATACAATTGTCATCCCAGCAAGAACCCTTTTTGCGTATGACATACCACCTCGCCATCCCTTTAACAGATCCTGTACTAAGTCTAGCACCTATAGAGAACCAGAATAGAGGTGATGTTTCATCCAGACGAGAACAATGTAGCAGCATTTGTAACATAAATAGAAAGCTTTAACTCCCTCCCACAGCTTAAATATTTCTGATCCCTTTGCCCCCCACCCCCTCAAGGAGAGAGAAGCAGAAATCTGATCCACATGCTCTTTTACATAGATTTACCCAAGAGATTAAAAAATAATCTCATAGCAGTCTTCCCTCCAAACAGCCCAATGGAGTAAAAAGATGTATAGCTTGCTTCATTTATTAAATTATACTAGAAGGGGGAAGAACTTACTCATTTTCTTGTTTCCCGCCCTGAATCCACTGCTTAAGCAAATACTCGTAGTAGCTGTCAGCTCTGGCTCCCAGAGTGTAGACACCCAGGTGAGTGAACTGTCCGCTGTTTGTGTTTATGAACATGGGCACTAGCCCATCATTTTTCCCTGAGAGAGCGTGTACATGTTTCATCACCTCATCTACTGCTTTCTGCAGGACAAAAAGAAAGCATCTCTCTGAACAATACAATGCTGCTTTATAATCTTGATTAATCTACAGCAAATCTGCATTGGGAATAGCTAAAGATTTTCATCAGCTTTCCTTCTTTGTCATTTAATTCTTTCAAGCAAGAATGTGACATGGTTGTATGTCCAGGAAAACCTCCCACTATCTTTGGAATTGTTAATACCCTGATTTACTGTATTGTGTCCTGGAACTTGAGATAAAAGTCTTTACAACCAGGCCCTTAACTAAAACATGAGTCACCAGATAAACTCTCTGGAGGGCATATGAAGGGAGTGCTAGTCTCTGCAACCTTAGAGTAAGATCTGTTGTGTAAAAACATTAAGATATTTTAGACAATATTAAGACAAGGACAGTTGAATAAAATTTCTCTTCAGATTGCCATTTTGTAAAGCCAGCTACAGTAACCTAGTGTAAAGTATTATAAAACTTTTACTCTAAGTGCAAAACCCATTTTTTCTTAGACGTTCCTTTTGAAGGACAAAGGAGCATGCATTCATCTACAGCATGGGCTTTCTACACTTACTTTAAATTGAGAAAGTAATGGACTCTTTCTTTTCCATTCCCACCCCCAAGTACAGGCTTCTATTACTTCCACTCTGGAGGAATTATGAGAGTCAAAAATGCATTAGTAAGCTGAAAGATGGACAAACTACTCAGAAGTGGTTTATACAGCACCACAAGGTATAAAACTGCTCAATCCAAGAATTTTAAGAGACTGCACTTGCTAAGACGTGATTCAGCAATGCAATGGCATTCACTTACTTTCATCAACCTAGGGAAACCTGCTTCATTTGCCACAAAACAGAAACCTCTCTTAGAGAGGCAGTTTAAGTGAGCACTTCAACTAATGTGGTGGAAAGAGGAGAAAGAAAGAGGATGAAAAGTGGCTTTTGATACCTTGAATTTCTCATCTCCTGTGAGACGAGAAAGCTCCCTGAACTCCAACTGAATACTGGTCACTTCAGCCACAGTGCTGTCAGATGTCCAGCGAGGAGGATGAGCAGTGCCTCGGCCAATGTTGACATCCGAGTATGGTATCTTGGATGGTGTGTTGAATGCCGGCATAAGCCTATTCCCAATATCTTTCTAAAGAAACCCAAGAAACATGGTACCAAATGATCTTTGTCTCTCTCAGTCATCAAAAAAGGAAAAAAAAACAACAACCCAGAAGCTTGGTTTTAACTCTTGCCTCCATGAGGAAGGCAACAAAAATTAAGAATGGGTAGTGTGGTGCAGTTCATCCTATAAATCCCACATAATATATTTTAAATACAAGGTTACACAATAATCCTTAATGTGAGCTCAGGCCCTCTGTATGTTTGCCCAGCAGTTGGAGCAGAAATGTGCACTTGGTTTGCCAAGAATTATTGAGATGCATGGATAGGATGGAGGAAGAAAGCACTTTACTCTCCTCCAGCCCTTTTTTTTCATATCCCTTCTCCAGCTCACACATCTCATCTTCCAAACCTCCTACTACCCTATTTTTAGCAACAAAAGTAAACACAACTTTGTCAAGATTCCATTTTTCTGTCAGGACCCAGCTGAGCATATCAAGTTAATGTGACACTTAATACTCCACATTTGCCTTTCCCAAAGCTTCAAGGTAGCTTTATTTCAATAAAACCAGATGGTGGGCCATGAGCAACCAGGAGGGGAGGCCAGTGAAAGTATTAATGAGCATGATAAATCCATAATTCAACCAAACAACATGTCTCAGTTTACAGGCCACCTATTCCCAAGTAAAGGCCAACCCTTTCCCAGGTAGCCCTGTGGATGGGAAGCAGCATAAGCTTTCCAGCCATACTCTTACATGATGAGCTGGAGTGGAGGTGTCAGCTTTGCCCAGCCCCTTGGGCTAGATCCCAACTACAGGGCTCATCATGTACAGGATACAGCCCCACCTTGAGAGCAGGGTGAATGGTGGTAGCACACAGGTTGATGCAGCTGATTTGTCCCCTTGTTGCACATATGCCTACCAAGGCTCTGTGCCCCAGATTTTGGAGGCAGGCCTGCAGCCCACCTCTCAATTCCCAGTCCCTCCAGGAATCCTGTGGGCTGTATCTTTGACATCCCTGTCAAAAATACAGGAGTATAGAGTATTTAATTCTGCTTTCCTCTTACCATATCTCTGCACTTTCCAGAACACATTCATTAAACATGACTAACATGTCTCATGTGTAATTCTCTTGTTATCTCTATTAATCTCTGAAAGGAAAATTATGTGAAGGGAGTTTTTAAATCTCTTTTCAAGTCACCATGTGTGTTTATTATTGTGAGTGAGAACAAAGAAGTGTATGTTTCACTTGTAATGAGAACTGGTGCTGCTTGAGGCAGTTCTTTTAGACCCTGCAAAAGTTTGTTTCATCACCTTAGACTGGCCCTAGGAAAGCCATCTTCTGTACAAACAGGCTTTAGCCAAGCGGTGAACAGCTTCATTGTGCTGGAGGGTCAAATCTATCACCTCTCCTCTGCAGTAATGGTAAAATGCAGGGGCAAGGTGGCCAAGATTAAACTTCACCCAATACAAAGGACACCTTTACCAGCAAGACTGACTACTTACAGCTTTTTCCAGGAAGAGGCTATCTCCAGATAAATGGTAGGTACTCAGCAAGCCCCCCAGAATACGAATTGTGCTCTCAAAGAGATTCACATCCACGTTCTTATCAAACAATAAATCCGTTGCCACCCACTTCCTTGCTTCTTCAAACTCTGCAAGACATGAAAGAAAATAAACTTTGGAGAAGACTCAAAGTAGCTACAACAACATATTCTAATGACCAGCTTAAAAGATACAGGTGTGCTAGGCTCTATTATTCAGCACATAAAAGGAACCTGGAATTTTAAGGGGGAAGTGAGGTGGTTATAACTTGCTGAAGAATACACACCGGGAGAAGAGAGGCCTAGTATCAGTTTAATTCCTGTGGCAAAGTGCCACAAGGATGTGCAAGGAGATAGGTATTTGGCAGAGAAACTTTATGTTTAATGGGAGTTGTGAAGGTATACTCCTTCCTTATTAAAATAATGCAAGGACTGCTACCTCATGATCCTACCTCTCAGCACAAATCCATAATCTGTTACATTACTACTAGTAAGATGGGTGGAAAGTTAAAAACTTTCACTGCAAGACTTCAGGTTTTAGCTAAAGCCACTTAAACCAAACCTACTGCCTGTCTGCTACCTCTCATACTATGCTTTCAGGCATTAGTCTTTAGCCTCTCAGCATCCCAGTGAAGTGAAGTAGGAAGTTGCACTATTCCCCATTTTGCAATTGGAACAGACAGCTTCAGAAGCTGCAAGACTATTATTCAGGTTAGAAACCAATGCCCCAGTTTAACTGACACTTCTTGATATTTAATCAAGAGGAAAGCTCACCAAGGTTTGTCATTTATCAGATTGTTCTCTATAAAACACACGCCATTACACTTGCCTGCAATGAGGCTGACAAAATAGGCTTGTCTGTGTTGTCAGCTAAGTTATCACTGTCTAGTAGTAGGTGGAACAACACAGAATTCTAAGATTTTCTTTCACAAGTAGAGTTTACATTTATGGAGTTGTTGGGTAAAGCTTAACTGTCATGCTTTTCACCCTTTTCATTTTAATATCTTGGGGCTTTTTTGTTTTTCTAATCTAGAAGAATCCCAAAGAGCTTTACAGAATCTATAACAATCACTAAAAGCTCAACTGCAATAAAAAATAAAAGTTTCCAATCAAGAGTCCATTTTAACCATGTCTAAATGACTAATAATTTATTTTAAAAGCTGTATGTAGTTCATACTGATTTTTATTTTTATTTTTTTTTATAAAGTAGCTACCTTGTCAACTTGATGAAGCATCAAGACAAGTTGCTGAGACCTGCAGTTAGACACACTAAACTGCAAGATTTCCAACTGGGATTTTGGTTTGATTTTAAAATTTTACATGAATGCATACACTGAACAAAAATAATAAATAAAATTAAAAAAAAACAACAAAGCAGTGTGTATGACTTTTGCTGTTCCCGGTATTCTGCAGGGCAGTTCTGATCTTCCTGCCTTAACACATACTAGACTGTGCGTCTTGTATTATACAGGTGTCCACTTCCAGAGATGACATAGCTATATCCAGTGCATACCAACAAACACATTTGCAGGAATTCTTAGAAGTACCACTTGTAGATCTTTTGTTTAACATCACCTAATCAGCATGTGCAAATTTTCTATAATCATTTAAGACAGCAATTTAAAAATATTCACAACAGTAAAGTTCTGAGGCTTAAAACCAAATGCCAAAGTAGAGCCACCTCTGTTCTGGACAGAAAAAAAAAAAAACATACAATAACTTGGGGGATGAAGGGGACAAGAACTGTATCCCACTGAACTTAGCAGGACACTTACAAGACAGAAGATAACCAAGCAAGTTAAAATGCGACTTGCATACTGTTGTTAAAGTGAATGAAAATAGCAGTAATCCACTCAACTGAAAAGTTCTCTGTGTGAACTGTACAACCTCTATTTACTTCAATGACAGTTATTTTTTTGTAAT